GTCAAATCGATTCTTAAAAATGCAATGTCATGATGTTTGTTCAAATAGCTATGGTTCAATTCCCATTCATTTAAAATACAATGCTTCACAGTTGTTCACTCCCTTTAAATAGTAGATTGCATGTTAGCAATCGTTTCACTGAAGATGGCGGAGGATTTGCCAAAACATGCCTGTTATTATACCGAGTTTTGATAATAAAATTCAGTAGGCCTTGCCTATAATTTATGGTATTGAGTTTGAAAATTATCTTGGTATTCTTAAGATCATATATCTTCATAACTCGCCCTGATCCTTTTATTGTGTATTGTATAAATGTTTAAACCCTGTCGTGTAGCGTCTGTTTATTAATGCGTCCATTACCTGGTGTAAATTCCTATTGTTATAAGGTCCGCCTAAAGGTCGCGTCCATCCGGCTGCAATTTCTATTTTCATGATAATTGGCAATATTTTCAAAGTTAAGCAGTCTTATTGGCTCTCTTTGTCACATGTCTTCTCAAATTCAGTCCCTCATGAGAGCATGGCGTTTCCTAATTGCAGGTTGTTATATTCTCTGCTGTAGCTACAAGTGCGATAAGTATAGGGTACTCATTAGAATAGTCCTTACAAGAGCACTGGAGACAGTCATGAGGCCTGTAACATTCAACTTCTTTCTGCATAATTATTATTACATATTTCATGACACAAGATGCAAAAATATGTTATTGTCTAAAAACATTGTTTTCCATTGGTATCAAACATTCACACGAATTATTAATACTCAAGCATTTCATCTTGATTATAAAACATTTATTTGAACTTACCTCTTGATAAACCAATAATTTAATAGTTTTACTTTCTAAGCTTCAGCTACGGTTACGGCTACTAAAGTATTGGTTTATCAAGACATACAGTAGTCAAAACATTAAATCGTCTGAAATTATTTAAAAAATGGGCACTTGTGTCCTTTAGCTAATGCAATATTTATCTTCAATAGTATAGAAGAGTAATATCATTTTTTAATATCTTTTGAAGACTTTTTAATTCTACTTAATGTAATTTTTGTTTTGTTCGGCTTATATAGTTTTAAATTAAAATGTTGGTTTTAAGAATTGATTGGTCCGTTTGAGGTTGCGTTTGCACTTGTTCTCTTTGTTGTTTGTAATTTTTTTAAAATTAATATTAAGGGAATAACAAAATATTAAATTTTTTTGGAGTAAACACAAATATGAGCAACGCTCACTGATACCAATAGTGTAACAACACTGGTTAAGTTCATCACTGCCTATCGGCAGAGGCTGATCCAGGAATCGTCTGACAGGGTTCGAGGAGTATAAGTAGTCCACACTCACCTCAGCCCCAACCATTGTGGGGCAAATTTTAAGAATAGGCCCCTGTAGACACTCGGATATAGCACTCTCAGATGGTAAAAATGATTTTTATAAGCAGTTTTCCTCCTCGACAAAATTATTAACTTCTTCCCGACGGGAACTATGCTCTTTCTCTCCCTCTCCCTTAGATACCCCTCACGGACGTCGCGAACGTCTAGTCAAAGACCTATAGTCTATTCTATACTTGGTGTCGCAAAGCAAATTATGATTATGACATTTGTACTCATTCAGACTTAAAATTTGAATATTTTATCTCCCTATTTTTTTTTTATTTTGACAAAAATATAGGGGGTCCTGGCCGGCTGGGCGTTCCATTCCCACTGGATTAATATGATATATGTCCTACAGCCAATGTCAGAGACACATTATGCTGTAATGTATCAACAAAGCTCTTTTGGATCTGGGTGCTATAGATCGTGGACCATATAGTAGGCGCACCGAATAGGCCCGTAAGTGTCGGAGCACCGCCGGACCGCTGCACTGGAGCACAAAGGCGTTACGCAACTGAGCATGGGTACTACATTCCGTAATTATGGCTAGAAAACCCTGTTATGTCTCCTGGCCTTTTTGACATCCTGATATATGAAATCGTTGGAAAAAATCGGCATCGTGGATATAACGTTGTGTTCGTCGTCAATCAATAAAAAATTCAAAATTAGTAAGTGGTAAAATAATCGAGCTCTCTTTTCGCTCACTGATAGGTCCGCCACTGAACTCAAGGGTACACTTCCTTTTTCCCCTCTTTCCTCCTTTAAACTCTTCTTTTGCCCCCTCCCCCACCCCACTTACTGTTTGATCCGCCCTTGCCTCTTTGGCAATCTTTCTACCAGGGTAAAATTCACCATAAGCTAAGTTTTTTTTTAACGCAATTTGTTAACTCCATGAGCATAATAATTATAGGCTTAGCCTTTTGTTGATAAATCCAGTGAATTTAGAAACTATTTTTTTTATTTAGTCCTCAATGGATTAAAAAAAAGCAGCAAAACAATATAATTTCCTGAATGGATTTAAAAAAAAGCAGCGAAACAATATAATAAGTCTACAAATATCAACCTTTATTCGGAGAAGAGGTTAACAAAATCAAAATCAAAATTGTATTGAATGTTTTTGTCTTACTACAGACACATTTTAACATCAAAAGAAGAATAAGATAGCATTACGAAGTCTGTATGTGACAGTGACCTGCTACAAATCCTTCACGAAAGGAAGTAAAGTTCTAATACGAGCATCCTAATGTTTAAACAGGATACAGTCAGTGCCGTTAAACAGCTATTGGGACAGTCGGGACTTTCCCTCTTAATTTTTCCACAATAATTGAAGAACAAACATTAAACGTGGGATGAGTACACATAAAATGGGTCCACATTTTAAACTATGGGTACATATTACTTAGATTTTATGCGTTAAATAGGGTACATATTTTAAAAAGGGTTCACATTACTTAGTTTTTACATGTAAACAAGATCGCTAGTCCACATTAGTTATATTTACGCATAAAATGGGTTTATTTTTTTAAATAGTCTACATATTCGGTGCATACGGATGAAAAGGGTTCATAAAATTTCTAAACATTAAGCTTAGAACCTGCCCATCCCTCTCATATAATTATATTTATTTAATATTGAACATCTTTTGTAAAGCCGAAATTATTTTTCACTTCAGCCCAGAAAATGGGGCTGAGGATGTGTCCTTTTCTGATGCTCATTCTAACTCCTACTTTTTGCAACAAATTATCTGATATATTATATTTCAAGTTTAGAGACTTGAACACCATTTAAGTCTGAGAGATTTCCATACATAGTTCTTTTTATTTATTTATTTTTCTTTTTTTTTTATAAACAGAAATATAGGAAAATGTAATTTCCAGGCATCCAAAGTTGTGAAATCCAACCTCAGCCCCAACCATGGTGGACTGAGGTTTTTTTTTTTTTTTTTTTTTTTTTTTCTTAGGGTTGTCCATCTAGTCAGATCTCGATCGACTATTTTACACTATTCTTAGAGGTTTTATCACAATTATGGCATTTTTTAAAATTTAAAAACAAGAAGAATAATTTTTAAGGAGCTACATCCAAGAAGGGGATTCTTGGCCTGTCTGGTAGGCTTCCCTTTTCGCATTCTCCTCCCTCCTCTCACTCTTGCTGCTGCTGCCAGTAATTAATTAATAGTTCAAAACCAAGTACACAGCAGTCAATAACACGCGTTAATTAGTCCGAAATTAGTCCATTCTTAGTCTCGGATTTGGTTCACTTTGAATTTGTCCCACACTGTTTGAAAATCCTGGTTACGGTATTGGATACATTCGATATCGATTTAATTACTAATTTGCGCATACAGAAGATTAGATTTAATGTTTTGAAATGATGTTTAAAAAAATAGGCGTGCTATTTAAATTAATGCAAGTGCCTAGGTAGGCAAAACTGGTAAGATTCACTATAATAGCTCAGATGACGTAACTAGTGGTAGTCACGCCCAGCATGCCATTTTAGATTAGACTATTTAGACCTTCACAGCGAGAGGTCGCAGTTTCGAATCCCATCAGAGACATTATATTACACCATTTCTATATTTATTTTATTCTGTAGCCAGGATCTGACGTTATTTGAATCTGTTCATCCATGAATCCTCTGTGGTCTAGTGGTTATGACGCGAGTGGTTGCAGGTTCAACTCCTGTCAGATGCATTTTATTACACAATTCCTTTATTTATTATTTATTTACAGAACAATATTCGTTGAAATATGCTACACAATGTATTTATGTTCTTTATCTGAACACTGAGATTAACTTATTTGATGACTTATTATATATGTAAGTATAATATATCTCACATTCAGAATGGGTAAGCGGGGTCTCAGAACTGGATTGTTGGTTTGTATCACAAGACATTATTTCTGCCGTTAAAGATTTTGTAAGAAAAAGGTGTCTTGTTTTGACTCATTTACTGTGTTAAGGTGTGCAATGAACCGTTCAGTGAGCAGTCTCGAAGTTTTCATTATGATTCATGAGAATTCCTCTATACTGAATAATTCTCCTAAAAATGCAAACTTTAAGCTATTTGACTGCTTCATAAATCAAAATTACGAGACATTTTAGAGGTAATTTCGTCCGCTGACAGTACCGAGTGGTGGTGTTTACACACAACTGTACTTTAGTGCAGTAAAAACCATAGATAGTAAACTAAAGATATCAAAAATACAGTCACCTAACTCGTTAAACTGTCATTAAAAAAGGCATAAATTATTATGTTACTGACCGGGTGTCTAACCGTCTGCTTCAAATATGAAAAAAACATCTAAAAATAAGTCAAAATTACCTTTTCATTTTCAAAACTAGCATCATCTACTGTATTTCAACTACTACCGCATTCCAAGGTGTCAAATATCAAGATAAGTTATATATGGGGTCGTTACATTACCCTTTTCACTATTAAATGGAAGAAGGTACAACATATTTTTTGTTTCATTCTTTTTTACAATAAAAAAGCACAAAAATACATTACAAAAGAAGTATATACAGTATATATATATATATTTATATTTATATATATATATATATACATAATAATACACACACACACATATATATATATATATATATATATATATATATAAATCCATCTATTATTCTTAAATACATAAATAATGGTTAAGAGGCATTAAACTATTCAAGTAACTAATAGAGATATTGATATCTATAGGACATTTTCGATTTTACATTTATTAGCGTACGAGTGTCTAAATGTATACAAAAAAAGCTAGCAGTAATACTGAAACAATTCAGTGGAAATTAAGAATATTCTAGTCCAAACAATCACCTGCAAAATATTTATTTTGTTATAGACCTACAAAGAACTTTTGTTATTGTACTATTGAAAGAAATTATTTTTTAATAATGCTAAATTAATTTTGTCATTTGAGCACAACCAGAACGGTAAAAAAAACCAACTAGCAGTTAATTACATTTTAAAATAACAACAAAAATACTAACAATACACGAAATTGTTTCTTGTACAGCTAGCGAAATTCCGACACCTAGTTGATCATTAGTCGACTGCACGTTAAACTGAACTGTAAAATGAAAAAAAAGAAGATACTTTTGTGGATTAGCGAAACAAATATAATGATGACATAAAATATTTTGATAAAAATACATTGTTGTTTTACACGGTAACATTATTATTGAGAAGAGCAAACTTACAATGAAGTGTTAATGCACCATTAGAAGAATGTCATGAAGTGCAACAGATCTGAATGACTCAGACGTATAATCAAGTGTACGTTCACCCTTTAAGAAAGTCAAAGTGCAACAAGTAGAAGACTATGTGTTCATTTAATGTTGACTATTGACTACGGCAGAAGGGTTTAGGTTGCATTGTGTGTTAACAGACTAAACACATGGTAACAGTGTTTTGGATGTATACAATGCCGTGAGCCAGGATTTTCAAACAGTGTGAGACTGTTTAAGGGTGGACTCAGTTTAACCCTGTGCTCATTTAGGACTAACTTTAATGCGTGTTTGTTGTTGTGTACCCGGTTTTTTTTAAAAAACTATATTGATTATTGGCAGCAGTGACAGGGGGAGGGGGAAGAGGATAGAGGATCTACCGGACAGGCTTCTCCCCCATCACCACCCCCTGTTTTTAAAATTTAAAATAAATGTGCATAATAGCCTGATTGATCGAGGAGGACCACCCTAAAAAAATATAAATCTATACTTCAGTACACCACGGTTGGGGCTGAGGTTGAAAATAATTAGGGTTTGGCAACTCTGGATGTCTGGAAATGGCACTCTCGAAATTAAAATAGTTTTCAGGGCTCATAATTTTAAAAATAATATATAAGATAATTAGTAGCAAAGGGTAGGGAGGGTGGAATGAGCATCAGGAAAGTCACACCCTCAGCCCATGGCCGGAGCAGATTTGGAAAAAGTTTTCAAAGGGCCTTCATTTTACAGAAGATGTTTAAAGACAAATAAATCAAATAGGCCTATGTGAGAAGAAGAAGCAAGTATTAGAACCTATTTTTTAAATGTTACACATAAAATCAACTAATGTCACCAATCTTTTAAATGGAACCAAATTGTGCATATAAACTGAATAATATGGATTCATCTTTTAAAATGAGCACCCATAATTCATGCGATAAACTGAATAATATGGACCATTTTAAGGATCTGGACCATAGTTACATTTAAAACTAACTAATTTGGAAAAGGATTTGGACCCTTACACCTAAAATCTAAAAAAAGTGGACCTATGTCATGCATATAAGGTAAATAATGCGGAGAATTTTAAAAATAGGGACCTATCACATAAAATCTGACTAATGTGCACCCACTTTTAAAAAAAGTTGACCCAATATATTTACCTATTTTAAGCATTAAATTACGTGATGTTGACCTACCTTTCAAAATAACATATGAAAATATTATTAAATAAAAATAGAAATAAACAAAAATAATTATATGGACCATTTCAAAAATTTGGATCCATTTTACACCAAAATATATAACTAACACCATAGAGAAAATAGAACAGAAGGAGTAACATCGAGCGAAGATCAAAGGTACAGACCTCCTCGCCGCGATCGTAATTATCTCACCGTTACGTAACCTACTTGACAACAAGATAAGCAGAAATCGGTTTAAGGGTTTCAAAGGCATTTAATGTCAAAAATACATATAATTTTTTTTCTATCCGACGAATTGTGCTTTCGTGGGGGGGGGGGGGTTTACCCAAATTCCCCCCCCCCCGACATCCATGTTTTACAAATAAAATATGATTAATGTAGACCCACATTTAAATATTGGACTAATTTCAAAAATGTTACTTTTTATATGTAGAAAATCCAACTGATGTGGACCCATGCATGCTTAAAACAAATATTGTGGACCGTTTTTAAAAATTTAGACTCATTTTATGAGTAAATCTAAAACCCACAATTTAAAAAGTGGATCCATTCAAATATTTCATTTTTATGCCTAGAATCTAACTAATGTTGATATTATCATCAAATGATCTGCAAATTGGCAGGTTCATGGCAACAACTCCCGCCATCCCTTCCGATTTAAAGCCGCTGTCATTAACTATTTTATGCGTTTCCCTTAAAATACATCTCCTATGTGAACATTTCATGCGTATAAATTTAATATGGAAAATTTTAAAAGATTAGGACTCATTTTCGACCTAAAATCTAATGTGGACCCACCCCATGGTTGATTTTTGTTCTTCCATTATGAAAAAAAAAACAAAAAAAAACAAAACAGAAGGACAATTAAAAGGGACAGTCCCTACAGCATTGGCTGTGAAGTGTTGTCCACCGTGCAAAAACAGTGTGGAATGATGCCGTATTCACACTATGTCCACACTATGTCTTCACTCTGTGTACACAGTGAAAACCTCATCACCGAATGAACACATAGTAAGATTAAAATGCAGTATCATACCTTTCGCTCAAATGCAAGCTTATGGTAATGGTCTGGCTTGTAGCCGTCCAAAGAAGTTAGATCATTACCATGCGTTATGATGTTCACCAAACACATTTTTCCATCTAACGAACTGCATTGCTCACATTCAGGACCATAAATATATTGTTTCCGAAAGTAATGCGGATTAAAATCCCGATTGATTATCTCTTCCATAAAATTAATCATTTTCTGTACAACATTGATAAATCCTGTATGGTCTTCGTTGTGCACAGCAATTTTGATCAGATTTCGATCGAATGAATTAATGCTTCCAGAAATGATTGTTGTGCTGATGACAAAAAGACATGATTTGCTAATCCTGAATCTTGCTGCATTGTAGTAGATCTTATCCCAAGTAAACACTTCACAACATTTAGCTATGAGACGCAAAAATATAAATTCGGGAATGATTTTCCCAAAATCAAAATAAAGGATAGTTTGCGAACAATCATTCCTGTTCCAGATAGATGATAATGAAGCGATCTTCGGCAGTCGACATGAAAGAAGAAATGTTCCGACTTGGTCGACTTGATCAGTAACAGTAAGAGGGAAAAGTAGATGTGTCCCCACTAAGAAACGAATAACATAAGGGTAAAACGTCCATATTCCTTTTTGTCGGCAGATATGCTCTAGTAATCTACTGTCAACGATTCCAGAGTCTTTCAAACTCTGCCAGTAGTCAGCTACTGTCCGATTTCTCTTATGAGGTGCAGGCACATTTACCAAACACTGCAAAATGTCAACAAGCATTTGAGGATCACAGATAACGAACTTTCTGAGTACCTCATCACGTTCGTTGTATATAACATCACCAGATCTATCAAAGAATTTTAGGAATTGACGCAACTCGTTCTGTGACGTTATATTACATCTTGATTTTACTTCTTCTGAAATTTCTTCTATTTTTGTAATAATGCACTTTTGTAGACGAAACTTGTTTAAAGATTCATTAAATAAAAGATATTTTATTGAAAATGTTTCCTGAAAAAACGTCAGTTTCTGTATTTCGTCATAGATAGCTGCTCGTAAAAGATTTCGTTGGTAGTCCACCTGTAATGCGTTTTCGATTAAAAAGAAAAGGCTTCCAGACGGATGAAATGCAAGCCACTTAGAAAACATCTTGTAGAGATGTTCTCTTGCTAGTCTTAAAATATTCAAAAGAGCATTTGTGTCACCAACACTGTCTCGTCTTGTTCCTACAAGAAAGACTACAGCGTTTCCAACATCTGCATGCATAGCAACAGATTGTAGCCAGAACTGAAGACGTTTGATTTGTTTTTCAGGGTTCATAACCGCTTTAACTGCATTGAAAACAATGAGATACACACCCTGTTTTGACATGAAGAGGTGATGTGTGTTATAGTACATGTCCTGCCCTGCAAAGTCCCATAAACTCAGTCTTGCATCCATATAGGATTCGTTACGAATACATGCTTTCATTGATTGTTTGACATGAGTTATTGGTATGGATGTTGTATACTTTACTCTCATATAGGCAGACATTTCGTATACAATAAACGCAATGATAGGGACGAGAAAGTGCAAAACGCTGAATAAATATCGTGGAACAGAGAAGTATTGTTTATTATTTAAGAAAAGATTTCTTAAATTTGCTAATTCCCATCCACAAAGTACAGCTATAAATATCCCAGTTAGAAAACCAATAGATTTCTTTATAACATAATTCTGATTGAAGTAATCATACGCGGCAAATTTTCTCCCCAAAAGGACTCCAAATATTGTAAAACTTACAACTATAGCAACATACAAAGTAGTAAATAGGCCTAGACATAATGACTTTCGTATAAAAGCGACAGGTGTGATGACAAGGATAATGATTATTAAAACAAATATACAGCTCTTTCGACTCATTGATAATATCTTAGCATGAACATTTCTAAAAATCACAATTGTAATAAATCCAATGATCCAAATTAAGAAATTATAATATACATTGCTGTAGATGAGTACTAGCTTTTCTGTAACATTATCGATGGTAACATTTTTTTGTTTAGGATGAACCATTATACAAAATGCTATGCAAACTCCAGCCCTACAACCTGCGCCCATAAGCACGCCGGTAATTAGGCCAACTAGTCCATGCATAAGAGCCATCAGGACTGACAGCATGCTATTCCAATCCAATCCAGTGTCTGGCATTTCGTTGTAAATGTTATCTATATTCATTGTACTGTCTATGAGTACCATTCCAATTGTGTATCCGGAACCAAAGCGGTACGCAGTGTGAACATCGAATACACACATCAAGCAGAGAATATAAATCCATGCAACCAGTCCAAATCCGAAAGTAAACCCACCGGTTAGAAACGTAATTAAACAGGGAATAATATGTATTAATTGATGAAATATATCTTCAATCAATTCTCGTAGCCAGACATGTAAACTTATTTCAGACGAGCTACCAGCCCTCTTGGTTTTTTTCATACCACGTTTCCGCATGTGTGATACTGCCCACCATGCTGCTGAACTTTCATAATCTTCTTGAGGTGTGTTTGATACTTCACACCACTTACTATTAACATCATTAATGTTTGCCTTGAAAATGTTTGTTTCGATTCCTGTTGTGCTGGGCTCATCATGCCTAAATTCTTTTCCTCTTAAACGCCTGCATGTGGAAGTCTTTCCAGCAGCGTGGTCGCCTAGGAGAAGTATCTTGGTTCTGTTAAAAGGAAGTGCTCCCCTTTCTTGAGCTTTTTTGTAAGCTTCATGCACCTCGGTATCACCTGCAATAACGTACTTGTTAATGCTGCGTTCATACTTATAGTAGCCTTGTAGATGATTCGATGCTCTTTTATCCATTATTAATAATATCCAATATTAGTTAATCCTCACCCAATGTACTTCTATCGAGTTCCGGTTGGTCACCTTATTGAATATTCATATATCACTGCCAAAAAAAATAAATTATTTAAAATTATTTATTAAAATTGCATCTCTGGGCCGTAGCCACCGGTACGTTTGGTCAGATTTCAACCTGACCACCTTTTGACCGACCACAAGTAATTTGATTAGGTTTTAATAGGAAAAAAGTCTAAATTCCACCTGCAATTTTAGACTCAACCTATTCCCTCTTGACATAACTCAGGAACCACAAGTCTGTGAACTCTTGGGCAGGCCTGTATAGTCTGGTTGTAAAACTGCTGAAATTAACTTTAGCGGAAAAAAAGTAAAAGAAAATAAATTTTTAGTTTTTCTGAATCAGTATACGCTATAGTGTCTCAGGAAAAAAAATCCCCATGCTAGGGCTTGGGCAATTTTTTTTACAGCACTTTGAAATTTTGACCTAAAATACCCTATTTGAAACTATTTAAGATGGGGGTAGGGGAAATAAATTTATGTTTTTGGTCACTTTTACATATACTGTGGATATGAAATGTTACAACAACTTGGCTAAATAGTTACTCATCACTCTCATTTAAAAATTTGATCGGAGTGATGACGTCATCATGATAAATTCCAAGATGGCGTCCATTAAGGTGGTAAAAACTATGTTTTTAATGTAAAAT